AACTGGCCCAGCCGGTCCTGTGGAGCACCAGAGGAAAATCCTGCTGATGTGACAGCGCCAGGAGCGGTGTTAGCAGCAGGGCTTAGAGGGACTCCTGCCCAGCCCCTGCTCTGGGCACGACCTGTCCCAGCCACCCCAGCACCTGCCCGGCCCAGGCAGAGACAGACGCTGCGGTTGAAATAAGCCAGTGATTGAGGGGAGGCAGTGGGGGATCACCTTTCCACCAGAGAGCTGGGAAACACCCCACAGGATGTGGATCCTGGTGGGACTCCCTGGTGTGCACTGACACAGTGCCAGGAACAGCCTGGCAGCTGGAACAGAGATTGGATAGCTGGGACAGTGTGGGCAGGGATCGATGCCAGCTCCAAACCTGCTCCTTGTCCCTCCTTGCTCCAAGCAGAGCTCAGCAGCCCTGGCAGGGCTCAGCCTTGCTCTCAGCAGCACATCCCAACAGCTTCAGCTGTGTCTTCCAGTTTAAAAAACCCTTTGCAGTTCAGATGACTGCATCTGTAGTGACAACTAAGCTCAAACGTTAATTTTCCCCTCACCCCTGTTGCTGCACATTCCCCCTTGTCTCTCCACTTGAAGCAGACACAGCTCTGTCCCAGCAGGTCACAGGCTCAGACCAGCCCACACTTCCCCTGTCCTTAAACCAGTGTGGAAAGCCAGGCATGACAAAGCTTCCCAAAGGAGGCAACTCCCTGCTGTTCCCCTCCAGGCTTCCAGCAGGAGCCTCCCCCAGCAGTGCAGCTGTGGATCAGGCAGGCTGGCAGCCAGGAGCAGGAGGCAAGTGAAGTACCAGGGCAGCACCACTGGGCTGAGGCAAGGCCAGGGCTGACTGCAAGTCATGCTGATGTGGAATCCCTCCCAGCCTCTGGCTGCAGCACATCCAGGTTCTCCAGACCCAACCCTTGCCCAGCAGGGACAGCAGCTTTGCTACAAGAGGCAACTACTCACACATCTTTCTTACGTGTAAAAAGGTGCCTGGGGGTCAGGGGACCCTGCTGCTATGAATCCACAGGGAAGAAGCAGGGCTGGTGGTGCCAGGGAAGCACACAGGGAAGCAGCACTCCTCCCTCCAGGCAGTTTTTAACCCCTTGCAGCAGGCAGGGAGCATCTCCTGCCCACCTCCCCCGAGCCCAAGCGAGGGGTGTCAAGCCAGGGCCACAGAACCCACACAAAGCTCCACCGAATCCTGAGAGCAGCTCCTGCTTTCCATCCACCACTGTCCTGGGAATCTGCCACCCTCCACAAGAGGCCTGAAGGAACTCGGTGTCCCAGCATTCAAGAGCACAAATACCCCAATCAATATTTGGCCCCGGCTTTAATCATCGTTCTCAGTCAAGTTTAAGTGTGTACTTAAGCTCAAGTACCCTTAAGACTTTTCCATAACTCCCCCACTCCCTGCTCAGCCAGTGCTCCACATTCTCCTGACTCCAAACACTCTAAAAGCTGGTTTCATCTAGAGACTTAAAAGCCAAACGTTGCAGAGGCAGCAACAGTAGTATTTGGAAACAACCCTGAGGACAGTGAACCCTGTGAGGAATAGCAACAGGGAAACTCATGCTGCAAGCACATGGAGTGGAGATTGTGCCAGAAAAACCCACAAAGCCTCCACTGCTGGATTAGCAGGAGGATTCCAAGTGAACCTGCAGCATAAGCAGGGAGCTGATACGCTGGGGAAATGGTGTGACAGGTCACCTGTGTCACATCAGGGCCACTGACAGGTTTTTGTTGTGGCCACCCATGCTCTGCTCCACAAGGAAGTGACGTAGGACACCCAAAACACTGATCACAAACACATCCCAAACACCCTGTGCAAGAAAATGCAAGACACAAGAGGTGAGGGGGTAAATGTAGAGATATTTGAGATTTAGGTGTCACCTCATGCTGACAGGATCCCAGACACCCTCTGAGTAGGGCAGCACTGCTCCTGCACAGCCCTCTCGTGGAGCAGCCAGCCCTGCCCACCCAGTGCCAGGGAAGGAGTTTTCCCTCTAAAGAAGGGAAGGCCCAGGAGTTTGCTGGGTGCTCTCTCTCACACGGGCTGTGCTGTCACAAAACACAAGAGCCCTCAGTGGTGTCACAATGTTTATTAGTCTGTACAGTCCTCGGCAGATGCAGTTTAGATGATTCCAATCTGGAAAGAAGCAAAGGATGTTAAAACAGATGGTATGGTGGCAGAAAGGCAGAGCCTCCGCCACAGACATCACTGCATCTCCCCAGGATTCCTGTCCTCCGGGGCTTCCTCCTCCCAGAGCTGCCCAGGAGCTTTACACATCCACTCTGTGCACTGATTCCAGTGATCCTTGTGCTGTACATTCCCCTACTCCAAGGTTTCCTCCTCCCAGAGCTGCCCAGGAGCTTTACACATCCACTCTGTGCACTGATTCCACACTGATCCTTGTGCTGTACATTCCCCTACTCCAAGGTTTCCTCCTCCCAGAGCTGCCCAGGAGCTTTACACATCCACTCTGTGCACTGATTCCAGTGATCCTTGTGCTGTACATTCCCCTACTCCAAGGTTTCCTCCTCCCAGAGCTGCCCAGGAGCTTTACACATCCACTCTGTGCACTGATTCCAGTGATCCTTGTGCTGTACATTCCCCTACTCCAAGGTTTCCTCCTCCCAGAGCTGCCCAGGAGCTTTACACATCCACTCTGTGCACTGATTCCAGTGATCCTTGTGCTGTACATTCCCCTACTCCAAGGTTTCCTCCTCCCAGAGCTGCCCAGGAGCTTTACACATCCACTCTGTGCACTGATTCCAGTGATCCTTGTGCTGTACATTCCCCTACTCCACTTTGCCTCCTGCCTACCTCAACCACCTTGAGGACTGAACTGACTGAGGACGTGGCTCCCCAGCACTCGGATCCTGGCTGCCTTACAGGGCCACAGAGGTGCCACCACACAAGCACCTCATGAAGAAACTCAGCAAGAACAATCAGCGGAGGAGACACGAGACAAGGTGCAAAAAAAGCTTCCAAGTTTCAAAGCCATCTCACCTTGTTGGCCACATCCAGCGCATCATAATCGGGAGCCAGTCGGACGTAAGCCTTTTTCTCTCCATCAGGCCTAGAGAGGGACAGGAGGCATCAGGACAGAGACAACTCCTTCCTCCTGCTCCACATTCCTACAATTCCCATGTGCATCAGTGGTTCCTTTGGAAGCATCACTTTACTCAGTGGAATCAAAGTTTACATCACTTGCACAGGACTCCAGGGTGTGAGAAGTGCTCCTTGAGGAGGCAAAGAGCCCTCTGAAGAAGCCAAGAGCTCCCTGAGGAAACCAACCCTCTGTTCTGCCAGCATTTCCCACTTCCACCAAGATGTGCTCAGCCAAAAGCTGCACTTAGCTGTGGAGCTTCATCCCACATCTCCTCAATCTCACACACACTCCCATTTTCTGCTACAATGAAGCCCCTCACACCCTGCAGGGACCTGTTCTCCTCCCCCTCCTCACCTGATCAACGTGTTAACCTTGGCCACATCGATATCATAGAGCTTCTTGACAGCCTGTTTGATCTGGTGCTTGTTTGCCTTGACATCCACGATGAACACCAGGGTGTTGTTATCCTCAATCTTCTTCATGGCTGATTCTGTGGTCAGAGGGAACTTGATAATGGCATAATGGTCCAGCCTGCAAGAGAGGTCCTACGATTAACAGAGGGCAGGCAGGTGCTCCTCTGAATTTTAGGAGCTTTCTTTGGGGTGCATCAGTCACCTAAGGTTATAATCACAAACTCTCAGGCTTTGGTCGCTTAAAATCATCACCTGCATCCCAAACCACCAGGTCCCCACACAGCAGCCCATTCAGGGGGCTGCTCCCACCACCCAAACCCTCCAGCAGGGCAGAGTCCCACTGCCCACACGCACTTGTTTCTCCGGGGGGCGCTTTTCCGGGGGTACTTGGGCTGCCTCCGCAGCCGCAGCGTCTTGGGCCTGCGGAAAGTGGGCGACGTGCGGATCTTCTTCTTCTTGTGGCTGTGGACCCCCTTCAGGACGGCCTTCTTGGCCTTCAGCGCCTTTGCCTTCGCCTCTGTCTTCGGAGGCACAGCTGTGAGGAGAGCTCAGTCAGCACCACAAGCATCGGCAGGGTCGGGGTGTGCTCCCCGGCCGGGCATGGCTTCCCCCGCCCAATGAGCACGACCTCACCCCGCGGCCCGCGCTCCCTCATCCAACCAAGAGGAGCCCCAAAACGCCCATCTGTGGTAAAAGTCTCCCGTTTCCGTGCGGGAAAAGGCACTTATTCCCTCCCTCCCCACGCACGAGTCCCAGCATCGAGATGGGAACACCCCGCACCTCCCTCAGACGACCCGGCGGGCCTCTCCCGCCACCTCCACGTGCCCGCGCTCAACACAGCGCTGGAACCCCGCGCCACTCCCCGCTTCGCTCAGCCCGGTCTCCCCACACATACAGCAGCCCCCCGCGGGGTCGCACACGCCGCCCCGCGCCCCCAGCAGGGACCCAGCGCCCCGCGCCCTCACCCTCCTTCTTCGCCTTGGGCGCCATCTTGGCCAGGCGGAAGCCGAAAGGGGTCTCCCGCACCGCGCTGCACGGGCTTATACCCCCAAATCTCGCGGGAGCAAGACGGAATCCCCATCACCCCTCCGCCCCAAGTCTCGCGATATCTTCGAGGCATGCCGGTAGTGGTAGTACCTCACTAACGGACTCCTGCGCGCACGCGCGGCGGTGTCCCGTGCGCCGTAGGGCGTCATGGGAGTTGTAGTCTGGCGCGCTGCCGTCCCTCCCCGCCGTCGTGGCGGTGCGGGACCGGGGTGAGCCCCGGGGTGGCGGGCGATTACCGGGGTCCCGTCGCGGTGGTAGCAGCGCAATGGCCCAGTCCCGGAGTAACCGGCGTCCTGGCCCCTCCCACGCCCCCGTTCGGGGGCGTGGGAGGGGCCAGGACGCCGGTTACTCCGGGACTGGGCGTGAAGCACCGAGCACCGCTACCGGCGCTGGGAGGTTGGCGGTAACGGGGACACCCCGCTTCATTCCCTCGCTGTGGGGACAGGGACGAGGCGGGGAGAGCTTGATGTTGGACTGGGATGGGGCGAGGGGACGGCGGGGTCCGTGCACGGCGGGCACGGGACGTGGGGGGGACACGCGGGGACCGGTGGGACACGGAGATGGGGGTGGGTGGCACTTGGGGACAGACAGACTGCGGGGCAGGGACAGCGACACCGTGGGGACAGCTGGGACACGGGGATGGATGGATGGTGGGGACAGTGGTGCGGGAATGTGAGGGTGGCGGGACACGGGGACAGCTGTGTGCCGGGCTGTGCGACAGCCACGCCTGGGGACAGGGGGACGGTGACACCCCGGGGATGGCACACTCGGGATGTGGGGATGGCTGGGACACGGGGACAGCTGGGACACGGGCTGTGAGGCCAGCCACGGGCAGGGAGCTCGAGGTGGCAGGGATGTGGTGGCAGCCATCCTTGGTGTCGTGGGGAGCCAGGACACGGGGACAACCATGTCCTGGGAAAGCGGAGACTTGGGATGAGGGGACAGCCCCACCTGGGGACACGGGGACAGCCACGATCCAAAACGCTGTTCGTGGGGACACCAGTGACACGGGGACAGCAGTGACACGGGGACAGCAGTGACACGGGGACATCGCCGCTCCTCGCTCTCTGTGTCCCCAGAGCTCGCGGTGACCGTCACCCCGTCCCCGCTGCCACCCCCGGACCATGAACGTGCTGGCTCCGGTCCGCAGGGACAGGGTCATCGCCGACCTGCCCGCGGTGAGCAGGGGGACACGCCAGCGCGGGGCTGAGCCCGCCGAGCCCCGCGGTCACCGCCGTGTCCCCCTTTGTCCCCTCTCAGTGTTTTCGGAAGGAGGCCGCCCTGCACACCCGCCCCGCCTTCCACCCCGGCGTGGCCAGCGCCTGCCGGGAGCAGCGGACGGGCACCGTGGGGTCAGTGCCGCCTCTTTGGGGGTGACAAAGGGCCGGGCTGGGGGTGACAAGGGTCCCCAGCCGCGGGTGGGGGTCCCCGGCGTGGGCGCCGCGTGGCCGCCGGCGCTGCCGGTGCCGAGCCCTGCGTCACGGCGCTGGAATGCGGAGCGGGGGGGACACCGGGGGGACACGGGGGGAACACGGGGAGAGCGCGGGGGTCCGGGGGGAGCCGCGGCAGGGCACACGAGGGGCCGTGCGGGGATGGCCGCCCTGCCCGGGAGCCCCTCTGCCCCCCCCGGGACGGCCGGGGGTGCCCCCACCCTGCTGAGCCGCGCCTGCCCCTCGCTGCAGGTTCAAGATCTCCAAGATTATCGTGGTGGGCGACCTGTCGGTGGGGAAGACGTGCCTGATCAACCGGTAACGGGAGCCCCGGGAGGCTCGGAGTGGGATGCAGAGTTGGGAGTGACCCCACAGGGGCCCCGGGGAGGGGGCACCGAGCCCCCACGGGGTTGGGATGAGGGGCTCAGGGGATGTTGATAGCTTGATACCCCCCTGACTCCCCCCCAGGTTCTGCAAGGACACTTTTGATAAGAACTACAAGGCGACCATCGGGGTGGATTTCGAGATGGAGCGGTTCGAGGTGCTGGGGGTGCCCTTCAGCCTGCAGCTGTGAGTGTTCGCCAGCCCCCTCCCCACACAGCCCTGCAAAGCCCCCCTCCTCACCTCCCACGCCCCCCCAGGTGGGACACGGCCGGCCAGGAGCGTTTCAAGTGCATCGCCTCCACCTACTACCGGGGAGCACAGGGTGAGCTCCCCTCTGCAGCCCAGCTGCCCACCCCGCTGGCCCTGTCCCTGTCCCTGTCCCCATCTCAGCCTCCTTCTTCCTCCAGCCATCGTGATTGTCTTCGATGTCAACGACGTGGGGTCCCTGGAGCACACACGGTGGGTGACACATGGCCCGGGGTGGGGCCAGGGGTGGCAGTGGGGGCCTCAAGGGCTGGACAGAGAGGGGTTGTGGGGCTGGCGTGGTGTGTGAGCAGCGCTCGGCCAGCAGCTGGTGACAGTGGCTCCCACAGGCAGTGGCTGGCTGACGCCCTGAAGGAGAACGACCCATCCAACGTGATCCTCTTCCTGGTGGGCTCCAAGAAGGATCTGAGCGTGAGTGTGACCCCCACCCTGTGGGCAAACTGTGCCCTGGCTGTCCCTGTCACCCACCCATGGCCGGCTCCATTGGCAGACCCCAGCACAGTACAGCCTGATGGAGAAGGACGCTCTCAAGGTGGCCCAGGAGATGCAGGCAGAGTACTGGGCTGTCTCCTCGCTCACTGGTGAGTCCCAGCTGGGTGGGGGGCTGCAGATCCCAGCGTCAGCCAGCTCAGGGGGCACTCAGGAGGGGTCTCTTCCCGCGGGGCAGGGGAGAACGTGCGGGATTTCTTCTTCCGAGTGGCGGCACTGACCTTCGAGAGCAGCGTGCTGGGCGAGCTGGAGCGCGGCAGCAGCGCCCGCAGGATCGGCGACACCGTGCGTGAGTAGCCCTGGCCAGCCCTGCCCGGGGGTCTCCCTTGTCCCGCCACCCACCCGCCCACCCCCGCTGCTTTTCTGTCCCTCAGGGATCAGCAGCAAGGAGAGCGACCTGTACCTGTCAGCGCCCCGCAAGAAACCCAAGTGCTGCCAGTGAGGGGCAGCCCCAGCCCCCCCCCGTGCTCTGGACCAAAGAGGGGCGACCCCGGCCGGCCCCGAGGAGACGTCCCTGCCACCCCCAGCCCCCCCGGCCCCTGGCCTGCCTGGGCACCCCTGGCTGGGGCGAGCAGGAGCACTCGTGTGGCTCCTGCAGCTATGCAAACCCAGGTACTGCTCGCAGGGGGAGATGTCCTCAGGCTCCCTTTTGTCTTAATAAAATATTTTTTATGCTTTGTAAGAAAGACGTGGGGCTGGGGGTAGGGGGCTGGGGCTGGCTGTGGGTCTCCCTGTCACTGGGTGCAGCCCCCAGGCTCACAGGCAAGCAGGAGAATGGGTGGCTGCCACTGAGGACGAGTTCCTTTTCCACCGAGGATCATCCCTGTCCTGCAGAGCCAGCAGCCCTGTGTCACTCGGGGGGCTGCAGGGGACACACGAGGTGACACTCCCACATCAGTCCCAGCCAAACTGGTGCTGGTCGAAGCGGGGCTGCAGGCGGGGGGGGACACAGTGGGAGCACTTGTAGCGCTCCTGGATCCACTTCCCTCCCTCGCTGCTCTCCATGCAGATGGCAGCGACACCTGTGGGGACACACCGGGGGGCTCAGCACGGCCCACGGGAGTGGTGGTCCCACACTGGGGTGCCCTCTCCTACCTGCCACGACCCCCCCCAGCCGCTCCACCAGCTCGATGGCCGCTCTCATGGTGCCCCCAGTTTCAACCCACTGGTCCACCAGGAGGATGCGCAGACCTGCGGCGGGCGGGGAGAGGCTGCGGATGAGTGCCCCGTGCCCGCACCGCCGCCCCCCGAAGGGAGCGCGCCCCGCTGGCTCACCGGGCGAGATGGCGTCGGTGCGCAGCTCCATCAGCTTCTGGCGGCCCGAGTAGTCGCTGTAGGGCTGCGCCTCCGTCGGCACGCACAGGTGCCCGGCCTTGCGGATGGCCAGGAAGCCTTTCCGCAGGGTGGCAGCGGCTGCGGCGCCTGCAGGTGGGCACGGCACTGTCAGGACCCCCAGGACAAGGGACAGAGACCCTGCACTCGTGTGGGACCTGTGCCCTGCTCACCCAGGATGAAGCCCATGGCGTCGATGCCGGCCACCATGTCGATGGCGTCTCCCTGGAAGGGCTGCAGCAGGTCGGCCACGCAGTCCTGCAAGCCCTGGGGGGACAGTGGAGGGGCTGGGTGCCCGCAGCCCACCATGGGCACCCACAGCTGGGTGCCCCAGCAGCCCCGTGGAGATGCAGCCCTCCCTGGCACCCCGGGGGTGCCATCCACCCCGGGCACTGGGTACTTGCGGGTGGCAGTAGAGCCGGGAGGGGTCCAGCCAGGCATAGTTGGGACCTTTGACGTTGGGGGCCATCAGTGCCAGGTACCAGCCCTTCTCCCGGGTGGCAGGGACATGGCACAGGTCCATGTGTGGGGACTGCAAGCACTGAGCAGGAAGGGGGGGTGAGACTTCCCCACCTCCAGCCTCCCCACGGCCTGGGGCCTCCCACCCACACCCACACGTGGCACCCTAGGGCCCAGGGTTCCCGTTCTGGCTCCATACCTGGGTGCTGGTGGCAGGGCTGAGCCGAGCAGGACCGTCACAGGAGCGTCACAGACAGCGACAGCTGAGCAGGGGCAGCCCCTGTGGCACCGGGCCAGAGCCCTCAGCCAGCTGGACACGGGGACAGTGCCAGGCAGGAACCCTTCCCATGGGCCACCGACGTCCCCAGGGCTCTGCTGCCCCAGCCAGGCAGCGCTGTGGTGGGAAGCAACATTTGCACCCCACGTGGGTGTCCCCAGCACCAGCTGCCTGTGCCAGTGTGGGTGGCACGGTGGGGTGGCACCCTGTGACGCCGGGGTCAGCCAGCCAGGGTGCTGCTCAGGGGGATGTCCTGCAGCTTTGGGTGGTCTTGGGCAGCGCAGGGATTTTTTGAGGCCACGCACGTCCCCGTTGGGGTGTCCAGGCACTGTCCTGCCCTGCTGAGAGCTGGCTGCCGCTGCATCCCAGCGAGCCAGGGCTGTGTCCTGACTGCCAATGGGCTCCACGGGCAGGAGCTGGCCAGGAGGGACAGCCCTGGCAGCGCTCTGGGAGTGCCGGTGTGGGCGGCCAGCCCGGCTGGGCACCGAGCTCTGGGCTGTCCTGTGAAAGGCACATCCACGGGAGGAAGGGGATGCAGGGCCACAGGGAGCATCCCTGGGGTGGGACACGGGGATGGAGCACGCACCCATGGGGTGGGGTGTGCAGATGTGGGGAGCACCGCAGGAAGGGACAGGGGGATGCAGGGAGCATCTGCGGGCTGGGATGCGGGGCTGCACAGGGCATCCATCCACAGGGATGCAGGGAGCATCTGAGGGCTGGGATGCGGGGCTGCACAGGGCATCCATCCACAGGGATGCAGGGAGCATCTGAGGGCTGGGATGCGGGGCTGCACAGGGCATCCATCCACAGGGATGCAGGGAGCATCTGAGGGCTGGGATGCGGGGCTGCACAGGGCATCCATCCACAGGGATGCAGGGAGCATCGTTCTCCCGTCGGGGGCCGCTCCGGGGCCGGGGGCTGTGCGGGCCCGGCGCGTCACGGGGCGGGGGTTTGGGGCCGGCTCGTTACCGGTCCCGGCACATCACCCCACCGGCTGCCACAGCAACGGGGCCGGTCCCACCGGGAGGGGTGACCCCTTCCCCGCGGGCTGCCGGCGCGGGACGTGCCGCGGCTGCGGGAGCGGCGGCAGGACCCCGGCTCTGCGGGACCCTCGGCGCGGTGCCGGGCCGTGCCAAGCCGTGCCGGGCCGCCCCGCGTGGGCGGGCTGCGCCACTCTATAAGGCGGCCCCACGGCGGAGAGCGGCGCGGTGCCATGTGCGCCCCGGGGCTGCTCTGCCGCCTCCTCCTCCTCCTCCTCCTCTTCCTCCTGCTCCTGCTGCCACCTGCCCCCGGAGCGGCCCCGCCGGGACGGCCCCGCGCCCGCCGCGGGCTCACCTACCCCGGGACGCTGTGGTGCGGTGCGGGCAGCAACGCGGACAGCTACGAGCAGCTGGGTAAGGGCGGCAGGGATGCTGCTACGTCTACCTTCCCATCCTATCTCATCCCATCCCTTCTCATCCCATCCCACTCCTTTCCATCCCTTCCAATTCCGTTCCTCAAATCCCATCCCATTCCCAATCCAATGCTGCTCCATCCCAACCCAGTGTTGGGTCAATCCCCACCAATCCTAATCCAGTGCATCCCAGTACTGGTCTATTCCAGCCCCTGTTCCCATGCTAGTTGAATCCCGGTCTGTCCCAGTCCAATCCCAGTTCATCTCTGCCTAGTCCCTATCACAGTTCTTTCTGGTGCTGGCCCGCTCTTGATCCACCCCCTGTCCCCAGCCTACTCTGCGGTCCATCCTGCTGCCATTCCAGTCCCCACCCCAATAGTGCTCCACTCCCAGTTGCTATCCTGATCCCGAAACCCTCTCATGGCCCTGCTCCAGGACCCCAGTCTAGCCCAGTCTGATCCCCAGTGTGGGATTGCCCCATCCCAGTGCCAGCCTCGTCCCCACCCAAGTGCTGAACCCATCCACCCTCACCTATCCCAGTGTGATTCCACACACGCGTCACTCCAATCCAACCCTGACCCTAGTCCTAGCCTAGCTCAACCCCAGCCCTGCCTGCAGCCCCCGTTTCCCCGCAGGGGAGCACCGGTGTCACTCCAATCTAACCCTGACCCTAGTCCTAGCCTACCTCAACCCCAGCCCTGCACGCGGGCCCCCCAGCCCTGCCTGCAGCCCCCGTTTCCCCGCAGGGGAGCACCGGGACACGGACCGGTGCTGCCGGGAGCACGACCACTGCCAGCACGTCATCCACCCCTTCACGGCCCGCTACGGCTACCGCAACCTGCGCTGGCACACCATCAGCCACTGCGACTGTGACCACAGGTGAGCGTCCCCAAAGTGCCCCGGGGCTCCCCGGCATCCCCCCGGGGCGTGGCATCCCCCTGAGCCCGGCCGTGCCCCGGGCAGGTTGAAGGAGTGCCTGCGGCGGGTGAACGACACGGCGTCGCGCGTGGTGGGCCAGGCCTTCTTCAACGTCATCCAGGTGCCCTGCTTCGAGTTCACCTACAGGGAGGAGTGTGTGGAGCCTTATCTCTATGTCTGGTGAGTGCCCCCCTGCCCTGGGGACTGCCCCCTGCCCGGGCTTGTCCCACCCTGTGGTGCCTCCTCGATTTTGGCAGGTGTAAGGCGTACAACACGGTGGCCGTGGCGGTGCCCCGAGAGCCAGTGCTGTATGAATTTGGGGGGGAGCTGATTGACAGGGCAGCCAGGCCCAGGGGAGTCCCCCTGAGCCCCCCGTGGGGCAGCACAGGAGGAGGAGCCCTCCCAGGGGATCATCGCACCGGGACAGCGCCCAAGGCAGGCAAGAAAGAGAGGAAGAGAAAGAAAGATAAGAAAAAAAAAGGGAAAGGTTTGAAGAAGAAAGGCTCTTCTGAAAAGGGGGCACGGAGCCATCCTGGCCCTGCTGATCCCCGGGCCCTGCTGCCATCCTTGGGGGAAGCATCCAACACCATCCTGAGTGATGCCCCGGCACGGGAGGGAGTGGGCAGGGAGCCAGTGCCAGCCACTCCCTCCCCGGTCCCCACCACCAGCGAGAAGAGGAGGAGGAAGGAGAGGAACAGAAAGAAGAGGCTGAAAAGTAAAACTGAGGCCGAGCCTGCATGAGAGCTGCAGCTCTGAGTCCCCCCCTGAGCCCTGCATGGCTCCTGGCTGTGAAATAAATTTACATCTGCTCAAGCATCCTTGGCTTTGTCTCTGGGGGAAAGGATGGCACTGGGGGCAGCATCCAGGGGAAATCCCAGGGCTGATCCCTGGGAACACCTAGAGCTGGGTGGGTATCCAGGGGTTCGAGCTGTTCCTCACTGCCCCCCTCAGTTCATGTCATTGTCCTGGCACTGGGGATGCAGCTCTTGGCCACATGCTGGCAGCAGGGCTGAGCCCCAGTTTTAGCTGCCCTGCTAGAGGGTTAAATTCCAGCTCCTCAGGCATGTAATTTTCTCTGCGAGTTCTCTGAATTGCACCACCCAAGCTCTCTCATCCTCTAAATGCCTTGCCTTTCCCATGCTCCCACACCAGCATCAACTCCTTTTCCCTTCCTCTGGGAGGAACAGGGGCTTGGCCCTCCCTGAAGGCTCCTCAAATGCCTGCAGAGCTCCTTAGAGTGGGACAACAGACACTTTTCCAGCCCTGGGACAAAGGCAGATGCTGCTGGGAAGAGCTGGGAAGAGCTGTGTCCCTTGCTGGTGGGTGGGGATCCTGTCTGGGCCCTGTAGCCAGGAGCAGGAACAGGGCATGGCCACCAACTCCTCCAAAGTGCTTTCAAGGGTGGAGCATGGCTCAGCCCAGCGTCCTGGTGAGGTGGTGGAAAGATTTTCCTGCAGCAGCACCAAATTCCAGCCTTAGAAAAAGCTGGAGTGCCAGGAGCCAAGCAGACAGCAAACCCCACACTGAGGAGCGTGCAGTGCAATCCCAAATCCCTGAAATAAGCGGATCACCCGAGGCCAGGGGGGAATACCAAGGGTGGAGGAAGGCATTGCTTCCTCTCTGGGTGCAAAGCCCCCGTGGCAGCCACAGCATCCCGGCAGGAAGCACGGACAGGGGGCACGCGGACCAGCTTCCCAAAAGTAGAACTTTTATTGACAGCAAGGGAAAACTAAAAACAAAGACAGCCAGAAAGGAGGCAACAACACACAACTAGCCTCCCCTTTCAGGTCCAACCAGTAAGGAGCTGCTCCCAGTCAAATTCCTATTGTACAGTCTCATGAAATAAGAAAATAGCGCCAGGTTCGTCCACCCGAGACCTGCGAGCTGTGGGCCCCAGCCCACGGTTCTCCCCACGGGCCTGGGTGGCTTTGGGAGGAGCAGGACCCTGTCACCCCCTCAGCACTGCAGAGGGGATGGCATTGAAGCCAGGACCTGCGTTTCTCTGTGCAAAGAGCTTTGCTTTGTCTCCCGGGTCGCTGCCATTCTTCAGGAGCATTTACATGCAAAGAAGAGCTTTGTTTCCTAAGATCTGCTGTTCCTGCTCATTTCCTAGCAAAGGAGGCTGACCAGGAGCACTGGGAAGGAACAAAGACTCTGCTTCCATAGAAAATCCCTACTAACAAAGCAGGAGAGGGGAGAGTGTGTGCAGCAGGAACTTTCCCTCTCAGAAATGTCTCTCCCATGCGGGCAATCCCTCAGGAGCAGCACACTGGGCTGCTTCTTTATCGACTTTATCCCTCTCCCAATGTCTCTCCCTACCCAACAGCCACAGGGAGGTGCCCCCGATGTCAGTGTGATGTCTCCATGTGGTGCATCCATAACAAAACCTTATTTGCTAACAACAGAAATCAGCTCCTCTGTGAAACTTGCAGCACACAGAGGGCAACACCAAGCAACAAAGGCAGAAGGAGCATCGACTTCCACCAAGCAACTCTGCTCTGAGCAAATCCTAAGGGAAGGGCAGGCTGCAGGCAGAAAACCTCTGAGCTAGCATTCAGTAAAAACTCTATTTATTCACCCCTCTTGGTTACAGCTGGGCAGGGAAGCGGGTACAGAGGAGGAGGCCATGCACTCCGGGCTGCTCCGTGCTGCTTCATCCCACGTGTCTGTCCCGGGGA